TGTTACCCAACGCACAGCATTACATACGTAGAAGTCTGTTGGTTTTTGATTTCCACGTAAAAATGGTATAGCAGTGCATGCAATGCCAAGTATGCATAACAGAGCCTTAAGTAGTTACTTAAAAAAAAAAAACATAACAACAAAGCTGCGACAATTTTCAGTGACAGTGCCAAAAAGTGGGGCTCGGCCGTACAAAGCTCGCATACGAAAAACAACTACATAAGAAATATAAAATGTTTAAGCAGAATTTAAAATGTGCGGCAGTTTAATATATCTAAAATTAAGACGAAATATTAAAATTATTTAATTTTAATAAAAGGTAATAGTTAGAGCGAAAATATAAGGGGGGTATTTTAAAGTAGAAAGATATATGTAATGTATAAAGTATAATGTGAGAGTAGAGTTGGGTTTATAAACTTACATGCAAATAAGTGAATTTAGGTATAGACAGGTACATACATATATANATCTTACATGCAAATAAGTGAATTTAGGTATAGACAGGTACATACATATATACATACTATTAGGGTGGTAGTTAATAATATTGACATCATGGGGTACCGCTTTAGTCCTACGTACAAAATAAAACATTTACGAAAATGTCTTAATTAAAAAAAGTTTGTGGTCGCTACCAGCGTTTGATCAAATATAAATGTTTTTTTAAATTGTAGCTAGCTATAACTCAGCGATGAATATATATGATTAAGTTTTAATTATATGCAGGGTTGCCACATTTTTTTCCAAAAAACTGAATTTTTGAAAAAAAATATTTTCTACCAAAAAACTGTAATCTTCAAAACACGAAGAGAGCTTTTGAAATGGTTAGGGTTTTCTATTTTATTAAACATAAATAACAACTAAAAAATAATTAAAAATAAAATAAGTCAAGCAGCTTAAATAAAAAAAAACGACTTTTAAAACTGAAACACGTAGAGCAAAGTTCAGTTTAGTTCTTTTTACTAAATTGTTTAGTTCTTTATACATTTGATGGAACCCTAAAATTTAGTATAACCTGAATGTGTTTTTTAAGAAATCTTTGGACCTGGAATTTTTAGGTTAATTCTTATTTTATTCAAATTGATTTGACAAAATATTCTTTCCACAGTTACTGCTGCGGCTACAATGCAAAGTACAGCTGAAAGCATTTGTTTCAAAAGAAGAAACGCCGCTCTTTCATCGTTGTCAGCCTTAAAAATTGACCTCCAGAAAAACATAAGAGAGACTTTGGTTTTCTCAATCAAATCGGAAATTTCGAAAATTTTTTTTTAAATAAAAATGTTGGTTTATGTTTTGCAATTAAACATTTTTTTAACAACGGGAGCGACCCCTAAAACTGGTTTAAACTTTTGAAATTTCCGTGGATGTCTCTATTTTGTAATAAGTATTTTGATATTTTAATGACCACCCTAAACATACATATGTATGTGCGTATGTAAGTAAGTAATATAACAGGAATAGAATTCCATGAAAGTAGATTTGAAATACTCGTAATTAGTCTGCTTACTAGAAGACAGATGAAAAATTTATTTATAATCTTTTAGGTTAAAATTTAAAAAGTTATATTTTTTGAAGTTTTTAGTTTTCTAATTTAAAAGTTGAATAAGTGGCATAAACCAAATAATACTGTAACAATGTTCATGAAGACCAAGTAAAAAAAAAACACTACAGAAAGCAGTGAGAAAAATAGTTTTTAAAAAATTTAAATGCATTACATTATTTATATAAAAGAAAAAAATATTTACATATACGCATGTGTAGAATATACATTCATATATAATATGCAGATATAGCTGCATACATAAATATATACATAATAATAACAAACATACTTATATTATATATAATTGTTATAAGCACGCCAGAATTGAGTGTGAGCGCCCATTAAATGATAGCGAGCTCTCGCTTAACTCTCAAGAAAACAGAAAAAAGAGCGATGTCATACCCAAAGAGTTGCAAGAAATTTTGTCACAAAAAAATGAAATTTAAGGTAAAGTTATGAAAAACATTGCATACTTAGAAGCCAAAACGATGTAAGCGACTTTTTTTTTTTTTAAATATAATTTTTGAAGCAGAAATGCATCTAGATGCTCTGGGAATATTTCTGCATCAAAAAGAAAATTTTGAAAAAAATGTCGCTTACGTCTTTTTGGCGATTAGGGCTCGTTATATTTAGAAACATTACAAATATTTATATGTGCATGTAACTGGGTATTTGTATGTATGTATTTGTTAGCCAGATGCTATTAACAGTTGTCACTTTATAAGAAAAACAACTGCGTGAAAAAAAATTATAACAATGAAATACTTACTACATATAACAGCAAACAACTAATAAATGAAATATTTGTATGAATTTTCGCAACAGTTTTTGCAAACACTTTTCATAAAAGCAAAGACAGTTAAAACAAAAACATAAAAAAAACACATAAACAGAGTGAAAATGTAGAAGTGTATTTTTCTGTACTAGCATAAGGTAGCAAAGAAATGAAGCAAAAAAAAAAATAAATTACTAAACGAATCCAAATAAATGTATGCATTGTATGTTATTAGCCCTTTTTAAGGGGGCTTCACACATCTATCGACGAGACGACAAATCGCCGGTCAAAACGATACGGTTGTGGAGTGGCCGCCATGGCACTCTGTTTGAATTTTCGAATTACGAATTGGAAAAGCAAAGCAAAGGCATTGTAGTTTATAATTAAGTAAGTACTAAACACAAAGTATATAGTAAAGAATACCAAAAAGAATAAAAAAATATTAAATTATGATATTGAGATTTGATTAAAATTGTATATTATCAATAGATATGTATATGCATAAACATATATATACAAATAAATATATAATACGACTGAGTACATAACTCGTAAAAAATTTAAAGGAACACTGTGTTAATTTGGGGGTCAAGTTGGTAGATATTGCGAAAAAAACTTTTAATTACACTGTGTATCGGATAGACCACACTTTTCACGTAGCTCCAGAGAAAGAATTCCAATGGTGTCAAATCGCAAGATCTCGGTGGTCATTTGACCTCGTTGTTTCGTGAGATAATGCGTCCAGAGAAATTCGTTCGCAATAGCCCCATTGTCTCATGCGCTGTGTCGTAAGTGCCACGGTCCTGTCGAAACCACATATTTTCCAGGTCCATGTCATCCCATTCAGGCCATAGAAAGCTTGTTAACATGTCACTATAAAGCTCACCGCCCCTCACCGTAAAAGCGTTGCCTGCATCATTTTCGAAGAAGTATGGTCCGATGATTTCGTGTCAGCCGAAAAAACCATACCATACACTGACTTGTTGTGGGCGCCTAGTTTTTTCTTGAACGACATCCAATTGGTAAATATACTTCACTGCAAATGTTATCTGGGCTTCAGCTCATATTGCTGTAAAAAATGTAAAACCGCGACGAATTGAGGTTGTCGCGGCCTAGTCCGGACCTAGTTCCACAGTAGAAATATTTTTGACCGAACGACCTATACGCACGGGCGTGGTCAAGTTTTGCAACGACCTAATTTCTTTGAATTTCTGCACAATCAGCCATTTTATTGTTGAATTAGATGGCTGGTTATATTCACCGAAAAAATTGCGCAATGCCAGAAAAGCAACTCTTGCAAAACGACCATTTTCAAAGAACGTTGGGATCACTTTTACGCGTTATTCAACTGATTATCGGCTCCAGGACTACGTTTGCCAAAGCCTGTAGTATCAGCTGTCTGAATAAAATCAAATAAAACATTAAAATATTTATCACAAATACTTGCTGTCAAGGATTTGCACCACCCGGAATTGACCTTAGCTATCGGCGTCAAAATCGGCCAAAATCTCCCATCCGAGGAAACGATCTCGGTACACACTCTGCGCCTGAAGCAAATTGAATTTTAAACTTAGTTAAAAAGTTGAGCTGAGATTACCACTCCAATGTACTTATGTATGTATGCACGATACTACTAGAAATCTATAAACTTGTTCTTACATGTCCTTGAATCATTCGATTAGTCCAGGCAGTCCATGCATTGACACGGTGCATAAAACGTGCAGATCATTGAGGAAATGGTTCCACTGAAATCTAAATCGCTTTCGCTAAGGAACCACTTAACGGGTTCTAACTTTTCCCGGTCTTTAAATTGTCCGCAGAAATCGTGTAACGTGGCTTTGGACCTGACAGTCACATTACCCTTTTCAACAGCCTCCGCATTGCAGCAACTTCAGCTTAAAATAATCTACAGATTCTCTCATTTCTAATTTTTAACCAGCGGTGTTGAAGACGATCAAAGAATGAGAGCTTATTAATGTAGAAGAGTTCATGAGGCGCTCAAATAAGCACTTTCTTCTTGTATATCTGTGTCTAATTCCTAGACGTCTTAGCAAAGGCTTAATATAGCACNAATTTCTAATTTTTAACCAGCGGTGTAGAAGACGATCAAAGAATGAGAGCTTATTAATGTAGAAGAGTTCATGAGGCGCTCAAATAAGCACTTTCTTCTTATATATCTGTGTCTAATTCCTAGACGTCTTAGCAAAGGCTTAATATAGCACCCGGTTCGGCATACGAACGCTGAGAATGCAGTTTTTTCTAGTAGAATAGCCCCATAGAAGAAGAAGATTCAGGGGTTGATGGAGCTAGCGAGCTTCTAATGCGAGTGAAGCTGACAGACGACCCCGATCTCAAGACTAAAAGTTGCCCAAATCAATCTTAATCACTCAAAAAATTCGCTGCAGATAACTTATCTGTTCCCCATAGAGATATTAGAAAAATGTATGACCTTTGGTGTCAATATTAGTCTACTTACGAAATAGCGGGAACTATGGAAAGGTACCGAGAGATGATCTCTCCGTCAATTGTCGTTTCGTTGGCGAAAAACTTACTGATCCTTATATAGTGGGAGGAAGAACGGCTTGTGGTCAGTTCAGTTAGAGCGATAGTTAATACTTTCATTTCAGATCATGCTCATCAAAATAAAGTAAGTATCCCCTTCTTCAGCAGTTACTAAGATTCATATCGCCCGTATCATGGAAATATTATTTATTCGTTTTCCTTATTCACTGAACTAAATTCTAAATAAAGCACTGCATTATCTAAGTAATAGTTATGTATATAGCTTGCTCAAAATCAATTGATCAATTCTTTGCGCATGGATACATCTAGTGGTGGAATAGCTTCGCGTGGAATAAGAAAAGTTGACAGATTGAATAGATCCAAAAACACTTTATATCGATCACTACATGAAATAAAGAAAAAGACAATGCATTACTAACTACATACTACATATTTAGTATGTGAGAAAAGAGTAATGTGACCTCAATTTCAAATTACCTCAATGTGGAACGCAAATAATGGTAACCAGAAGAGCCACCTGTGCCGAGTTGCTGTGAACCGATCATGCGTTGCACCATGATCACATGATTATCTGAAAGCCATAATTTCAATAAAGTGTTAACGTAATTTCATTTCATTCTTACATCTCCACTTCGTAATGAGCGAATCGATGTCCATCAAAAGTGTCAACATTTGATGCGGCTGACTGAAGCGCGGCTCATCGCGATAGAAGGTGATCATAATGGCGCCCTGCAGCGCTTTGTAGCTGAAACGGCGATCACCACGCGATACCAATGCCTCGTGCACATTGCGATCGAAAATGCTGCGATACACCTCACGCCGCTTTTCAATGTCCATCAGACGATAGTTGCGTGCCGCTTCAATGGGTTCTTGCTGCAAAAATGAAATACGGGTATGCATACATACATACATACATACATACATATGTACATACATACATATGTCTTATTAAATGTTTCTTAAAACTCACCATAGCTGTGCGCACTTGCTCGGCCAAAAATTTGTCAACACTCGCCTCGAACTTAGCCCAGAAATTAAAGCCGTCCGTTTCAAGTCCAGGTGTCCGCTCAAGCCATTTCTGTATTAAATCCAACATGGAGGGTTCATTTTCGGATTTTTCAATAGCGTCCATTGCCGCCGGTTCATCGCCAAAAGCCTCTGAGTATTTTTGATTGTATTTAACACGTTTATCGGTCTTGACGCCAAGTTTATTTTCGATCAGCCGAAATTGTAAACTCTGAAAACCGGATGCAGGTGCGAGGTAGGTACGAAAGTCCATGAAATCCAGCGGTGTCATTGTCTCTAATATGGGCACTTGATCGACCAGCAGCTGTAAGGGGGGGGAGGAGTAAGAGATATATGTATAATGGTATAGTAGTAAAGTAAGATATGGAGACAATGAAATNCGCTGGTGCGAGGTAGGTACGAAAGTCCATGAAATCCAGGGGTGTCATTGTCTCTAATATGGGCACTTGATCGACCAGCAGCTGTAAGGGGGGGGAGGAGTAAGAGATATATATGTATAATGGTATAGTAGTAAAGTAAGATATGGAGACAATGAAATAATCGAGTATGTATACCTTGAGTATTAGTACTATGCGATTTAGACGTTTTAAAATTTCCAATGTCTTTGACTCCTCGAGGTCCTCTATATTCAACATTGCCCGTATGGAGTCGAGTTCGAAAATTATCTGCTTGAACCATAGTTCATATGCTGAAATATTAAACAGATTTTTTTTTTTATTAAATACATATTTACATATCGACATCATCCTTGCAGATGGTACTTATTTGGATTGAATTGTGCTATTTAAAACGATATGTTAGTGAGAGTTTATAGAGAATTTATAATTTGTGACTTATTCTAAATACATTTTAAATTCAGAATACCAAAGTTTGAGAAGCTCTGAATTAATCCGCTTTCTAATGAGTTATTTAAACTCGTAAAAAAAGTATTCTCCTATGCTGATTCCAAAACCAACAATTATCAGCGGCATATGATTTTAAGAAAAATTTAATTCATCTTTTTTGTACCAGAAATCAAACACGCAAAATAATTGTACAAATACTAATGGCGCGGTAAAAATAAAGTTCTAGTTTATTAGTGCATAATCAAGTTTAGTTTTTTTTTTTCTGCTACGTACTTATAATAGTGAACACAAAGCGAAACAAAACAAGTAAAGCGAAACAGAATTTTATATACCCGGCGCACGTATTAAATATCTGACATTGACATTGAATTCCAGTAGAATAAAGTACAAGTTTCAAATAGCAAAATATTGCGGTTTATTTTTTTTTTGAATTTTTAAAAAGGTCGAAATTTGTTGGAAAGTTTTTTGAATTTTTTTAATATTGCACAAAGTTGGAAACTTGGATTTACATGGGTTTTGTTAAAGAATGAACCACATTTTTATAAAAAAAAGTAACCAAAACTAAATAACAACAAAAGTAATAATTAAAACTTGGCAAAACGTGGTTCGGCAAAAATTTTTTGACCGCTGTATGTATTTTTTTTTTTATATATTTAATTGGACATGCACATTGTACATAAAGGTAAAATAAAAAAATAATGGTGTATTTTTTTGCCTTTTTTGAAATCTAATTTTGCTCATTTCAAGTTTAAAATTCTAACCCTGGTTATTAACATCTTTTTATAGGAGACGCTATATTTCGAGAGGTTATACTTATGAATATTAAATATATAAACAATATTTCCCTATTTTGACTTACTCTCGAACTTTAGTGGTTTTGGAAAATTTAGCAATGTTATTCAAAATAATTTTACTGCTAACTCGACGTTCATAAGCCAAGTTAAAGTATAAAAAACGGCCGATTTTATTTAGGTTAAGAAAAAAGCATAGTTCCTCAGTTAAGTTATGTAGCTTTGGGCTTTTGAATCTAAAAAAAATGTCATAGCACTAATGTATGTACATATATGCACATAGATACATAAATATTTATACATATGTATGTAGCTGACCTTGATGGGTANCATATGTGCATATATAGATACATAAATATTTATACATATGTATGTAGCTGACCTTGATGGGTAACAATGAAAAGATGTTCATCGTGTACAGGCCGATTATCCACCACCGATAACATGCGTTGTGAACTCAAAAGCTTATCCAGCATTAAGTATTCGCCATAGATCATGCCGATATCGCTGCCCAAGGGATGTGCGGTGTCATCATGCAATGATCTAACCGGATAGAGAGGTGATAAGCGCACAAAATTAAAGAAATACGGCACTGCGGTCAACTACGCACCCATTTCCAGCATACGGACAAGCCATCGTCGATAAGCTTTTCTATTGATTACGGATTCCGTTAGACACAAACACCCACACACACACGCACACACACACACACTGCAGCACTTATCGCGCTTAAATGCAATTTAAAAAAAATTGAAGCCAGTTTTCTTTAAACAGCGCCAAAGAAAGCAAACCAATGGAACCGAATGCTGAAACAATACTAAAACGGCCTTTCAGTTGCACCGACAATGCCGGCAAGTCTTTGGATGTCTTGACTTCGTTTGTAGTATTATAGTCCAATCTATTGAACGTGATCGAATATCAAATCTGCTAGATCGAATGCTAGTCCCCAACGGTATACAATATATGTACGAGTATACATATGTATGTATATGCCTGTGTATGTACATATATGCAAATGCATGCGTTAGTACGCGGTTTGTGCGGTGATGTCTTATCAGCTGCATTTTGTTGTCATTTACTAGTAATTTAATATATTGCAAATATTAGACCGTACCACCTTATAAGCAAACAAATAAAAATTTCGGCGTACTCCGCTGACTTTCAAATATTTTTTGTAAGGAAATACCAAAAAAATAAATTGTATGTTTGTCCGAACCTTTTTACATTTTTCGGTGACACATATGTACATACATACATACATACATACATTCGGCAAACATTTTTTGATGGAGTATTATGGACGATATGGCGCTAGATAACACAGAGTGGTGTTGTATGAAATTTTATTATTGGACTGAACTGATTCTTGATGATAATTTTAACAAAATTTCGATTTGAACTTTTCACACAACAAATTACAAACTATTCCAAAGATTTTAGGTTTAACAACAATTCTTAGTACTCAATAAAAGTAAAACTACGGGTTTATGAATTTTTTATGAGAATTAAGAGGGTGTTTGTTTTCAAACGCAAAAGCTGTGTTGTAAGGTTTGAAATTTGTTTTTTTTTTGTTTTTAAACTTAAAATAATATTGAAAATGACTATAATTGATAAACATTACAAATAAATTTTCGTTTAAAATTTTCACTATGAAAATGGGAAAATTTTGGAAAACGCATAGTACCATCGGATAGCCCGTACAAAAATCTATAGAAGTCATAGTTTTCGAACTATTTGTCCCATTTTCTGTCTGCTTCCCAGCTAGTCGAATAGTAGCTTGTTTTGCACCGCACAGCGCGCTTGGCACATTTGACGTGAATTGACCAATTTATATAAACATATTTGAAAAGAAACCAAAAAAAAAATTTAAAAAGTAGTAGTTATATAGAAAAGGAGTAGCTATGTATTGATTTATTTTGGTACTTTTCAGCCCGATGTTTGCGTGGTGGTCACACGATAGGAACAGAGAAAGCGACAATGCAGCGCACTCGCGGAAACCCGAACGTTCGAAAACTTCAACATTTTTTCAGCCCCATTGACAACTGCCGTTGCTTAAAATATAGTAAATTTTATAATTCCGCTGGCAAAAACGCAATTTTTTGTTGGTGAGTCACCCTAATGTACATATATACAAAGCTACTTATATATGCACATACATTAAACTGCATCACCAAGAAAGTTACGGGTTTTCCACCAAAATATTACGAAAAATATTAAGATTTACGTGAGCTTGACCGATTCGAAAATACCTCCAAAAGCGGAGTTTTTTTATGAATAAAAATAGTTTCTTAAGTTGAAAAAAAAAACATCCCCCAAGATAACAAAACAGTTTAAGCTTATAAAATGTGCGTAAAAATATTAAACAAAATGTCTCAACTTTTTTCAAAAATTGGTGTGAGAAAAACTTACATAACTGCGTCAAAACTACACTGATTTAGACTTTTGAGGTACCAGTGGAAAAAAGTTCAAGAACAGTATCAAAAATCTTATTATTATGATTGAGTTAAAATTTTTTTAATGCTTTTCTGCATTTTTTTTTTAATTTAAACGGGTTTGTCGCCTGAAGTGATTTTTTTTCAAAACAAACTTAAAAAAAAACAATTTTGATTCAAAATAACTCAATTTTTTTAAGTATTTTCAAATCGGTCCAGCGCAGGTAAATCTTAATAATTTCAAAAATAGTTTGATGCAAGTCTTAAAATATAAAAGATTCCAGAGACCGTAACAGTTACAACTTTTATTAAAAAACTCGCTCTCTGACAATTATTTTTTGACTTTTATTTAATTACTCCTTAAATAAAATTTTTTCTGATATTTATTTTATAAATCCAATAACAATTATTTTTGATTTTTATCTAAATAATCTACAAATAACAGTTATTTTTGGTTTTTAAATTATATGTATTTTAGATAACAGTTATTGAAGACTTTTATTTATAAACGTCATTAATATAAATCAGTCACTGACTTTTATTTTTAAAATCATACTTATGAAAGTCATTTGTATAAGTCTTAGTAAACTTTGGTTCTCCAACACATTCTTAACTGCGAAAAATTCTGAATCTCCTGATTAAAAAACTACAAAAATATTTCCAAAATCGTATGAAATTCAGAAAAGGCCTGAATAAGGTCAAAATAGTATTCGCAATCGTATTGCTTCACAGTTGCTCATTTTAACTTTCGTAAGCCGGTATAAATATCCCGCTGGTCATAGCCTTCAAACTTTCGACGTGGGTTGAGCATTCTAAGTGTTCTCTGTATTTGCATAAATCGCAAAGAAGTGGCTTGCAAAAATGTGCTTTCCATTCGAGTGCAAAATATATTTACTATGCACTGGTTGACGCTTTTGTATTTAACAGTTTTTCAATAAAAAAACTCTATATGTATTAATAACTAAATGCATGGTGGCGACTTCGGTACCTACATACATAAATATTTACGTACAAACTTATTTATATGCGAGTATCAAAGTATGAGGAGCTTTTTTTTTAGATGCAACACAAAAAGCTTACCGTAATAAATTAACATTTGTAGAACAGTTTCGCAAATAACAGCAACGGCCAGCAATGGATGTCTGTACGGGGCTTTACGAAAAGTGCATTCTAACATACATGTGTGTTTGTCCATATGCGTGTGCCTGAGCATTTGTAGTAATTTAATGGAGCTTTTGAGCTTTTTTTTTACACCCCTCAACAATCCACACACCGATGATTGGGCCCATTCGCGAGTGAATGCGTTGCAACACGTATACGACATGTTGGCTGCAGCAATGAAAAAAAAAAAACAATATGTATTTTTCTATGGCTCACTTGTACTCACATCGAACGCCTGAGTCGTCCGTTATTCACGTCGGAGCATAACGGCATTCCGCAACATATGTATACAATAGCTTGCTGCCAGCTGCAATAGTTGTCAGTTTCTTTTTAAGCTTGGCCCAAGTTGGACGTTTTCAAAAGGATTTGATCCGCTGACTGGGTATCAAAGTCGCGCGTGAAAAAAAATCAAATAAATAAAAGCAATAAAAAGCAAGGAAAATCTTTAAAAATAAGAAAAGTGAAAGCTACTACGACTTACATACATACATGTGTATGCAATTGTGTGCGTGTGTACCTTTCGCCAGTGATTTCTTTAGCTTTTATTATTTTATGGTTAGCATTTTTCAACTATATACATATGTACCTGCATACATATATAACTACCTATTTTCCACACTACGCGTTTGCTCCTTGAAAGGCAATTTTTTGTTGGCATGTGTGTATGTATGTATGCGCATATATATTTGTGTACGCTCCTTAGGAAATGTTCATGTAATTAAATTTCTTCGCTGTTGTTCTTATTGCAGTCACCTGCCTGCAATAAACTCGCATTCCGTTTGAGCCTTTAGTAATTTCGCGCACGCAGCAAATATTTAACAGAAAAAAAAAAGATTTCAAGCCAAAGGAACACTCAAAGTAAATACTATATGAAACGACATAAAAATACCAACAAATAAATCCGGTCACACGTTGTGCTGCGAAAAGTCAGACAAATCAGGGTCACGCTTTCGCCCAAAAAAAAAAAAAAACAAAAGTACACTGAGTAGGCTGGCAGGGTCCTCATAACAAATTAAGGGAAAGTGCTCGCGCACACATACACTCATTCAAATATTTATACAATTGTACAACGGTATATTTTATTGGTTACAAAACTGCAAAGGCTATATATACATACATACAAAAGAAATAGGCCAAATACTTATAATTTGGTAGGCGACGCAATTTGTGCTAGGAAACAAAAAACAAAAAACAAAAAAATCAATTAAATTTAACTACCAAACAGCCAGCGCGTGTGGCACGCATTTTCGCTGCAGCTAATGCAGCTGTTTGCTGAGGTTGAAGGCAGTCTCGTTTTTGCACTGTTTACGGTGTGTCCTGGCTGTGGCTGATTGACAGCAGCAGCGAAAACCTACACACTGTGCAGTACAATCAATGTAATGCACTGACAGACTGACTGACTGAAGGACTCACCGAATTACCATCAATCAGTGGAGCAGCTGCGCCCAGCTAAACAAACACGGAAAAATGGAATGAATGTGACAAATCTTGAAAATATTGATTAAAAATGTTGGAAAATGAGAGGAGTGATCTTAAAACAGCACCTTGACTAAATAGTTGGTTACAACACCCATTTTTCGTTTTTAAGCGTTTATTTGCTACAGAAAATCTTACAAACATAGTATTAGTGACGTACAACTGAAATGTTCTTTCTTAGCAAGAGCATCATTTGAGAGCGGCTGGCTACATTTCGCTAGTTTTTTTTAATTGGTTTACAACAACCTGAAAGTTGCCGGAAATGAATAATTTTGCCTTTTTTTGTGTTTTCTTTTGTTGTGTTTTTTTTTTGTACAAAACTACGATCATTACTCACGAATTCGCATTTACATTTCAACCAAATGATATGTAAAAATGTTCGATTGATTTTAGATTGTAATATTCTATAAGTTTTTAAAATTTCGACCCTGTTACAACTCTATACAATTTATTTATTGATAGTATACACCGAGCGACAAAAATCAAAAAAATACAATACACACGAATTAGTCAATATACTCACAAAACAATAGGTCAACGGTGACCAGTTTCTGTGGACAAAAATCGAGACATTTCTAAAGCATCAAAACCGAACAAACAATTTCATTTTTAGAATAAAAAGACATAACATTTTTTTTATACAGTTTTATTTAAGACAAAACAAAGCGAAAAAACTTGAAAAATTACTGCACAAATGTACTCACTCAATATATACGGTGGCGAGAATGTAAATAAGGAAAAAAAATTTTAGCAAATTTTGACTATTCTTTTTTTTTAATA